TATATATATATATATATATATATATATATATATATACACACGCACGTGTGTACACACACACACACACGTACACACACACACACATATATATATATATATATATAAATACACACACGAACACACACACACATATATATATATATATACATATACACTAACACACACACACACACACACACACACATATATATATATATATATATATATCCACACACACACACACATATATATACATATATATATATATATATATATATATATATATATATATATATATATACGTGCGTACTTGTATTTTGTGCGATTTTATACATTTTTAAATGTATATATTATTGCCATCATATATAAGTTTAACGTTTTCAAGAAGAAAATACGCTTTTCTGTGTTTCTTTCCTTCCTTTTATTAATGTTTTGGCAATACATAACGCTTGTGAACTTGGTTCTCCATAGCTTCCTTCTTCTTCTTCTTCTTCTTCTTCTTCTTATTATTATTATTATTATTATCTGTGAATGTCTATGCATTTTTGGGAATGCTAACCAAGTGATTTGCCGTTGACTTCGAAAGTGAAGGAAACAGGCTAGTACAGAATTCGAACTCGGCTCTCGAATCACCTTTCTTTGCCGATACGCGATACATTATCCGCACAATAACTAAATTCGTCCACCTTGTCCTCGTACTAACGTTACTTCAAGTAACATGATTTTCAGGTATTCTATAATTAATATCCAACCTTGGCGTTTAAAATCCTTTCGATAATTTCCAACGTTTCTCTAATCTGTTTTAAAATTAACCGCCTGAAAACTTCGCCTACATGATTACCTTCATCATAATTGATTGCCAAGGATACATTCACCAGTTTACCCCAAATTAACAGCAAATTTAATGTAGATTCACTACTTTAAGTTTCACAGTGAATGTACCGATCCATCTGTTTTCGTATCAGTTCCCAAGTTTCTTTAGTTGAAAGTATATGTGCATCGGAAATGGTGTTTCTTTAATGAGACAATTTAGAAACTGTACAATCGGAGCGTTTAATTCAAGAACATGAAATATTTCTGGTTGTTCGATATGCTTCAAAAATCACATACATTCAAAGCAAGTTACGTTAACGAAAATAACCTAATAAAAAAAGTAAATAAAGTAATAATAAAAAAAAATAACTGTGTTAATTATTTGTTTGGTTCTTTCTTTTTTTCTTTCTTTTTGATCAGCGTGTTTTCTGTTTTCAGATATCATAAAATTCAATATTGCTTAATTATCAGCCCAAGTACAAGGAAATAATTATTCCTTCTGGCGTTAACACACTACAAGATAATTACTAAAACGCATCCTCTGCTACACACATTACACAAACAAACAGGCTAACACATACGCCTGTATTTATTTATTTATTTATGTCTCAAATCCAATTAAAAATTCTAATTATTTACTGAGCTGGAAATTAAATTGAAGTTTCTAAACTTTCTCTCGCATTTCGACTTCATACAGAATATAAAATGAATCTGAAAAGTAAAGGGTAAACAACGAAAAAGTTTCGTTGGATTTCTTGTCCTTCTAAGTACTTTATCTCGTCATGACCTAGGCAATCATGTTCCTCCACAACATTCTGTGTTAGTAGCTCTTAGCAATATTGGTATTTGTTTTTACTATATCTCTGATATCCTGTTTTGCCATCGATTTAAACATGCTCTTTAGGTAAGTCTCCATGTTCCTCTTGTTTTCCATATGTCTAGTGTATGTCATATTTTCTAAACTTTCTTTCTTCATTATCTGTCACTATCTGATTCTGTGTATAAGTGTTCTTTTCATTTCCAATTCCTCCATCGTTTCGCATATGTTTTGCACATAGTATTCTCAGCATTCTTCTAAGGAATCACATCTCCATTTCTCGTTCATTTGTGAAGTAATTTTCACTGCCATGTAGACGGATTGATGCTACACACACTCTATTCATTGCTGATAGCCATTTTTTGTTTTATAATACCTTGTCTAACTTTTGCCTTTTTGCTATGCCAATGCGCCTTGGGATTTCGGTATGAGAGAGGGCATTGGCACCGAAATGATTGTTCATAAGAAAAGAAGATAAATACATAACAGAGATGTCGAGATCCATTTAATACATTTCGCTTCTTTTGATGTCCCTCTCGCTGACCGCTATAATACTACTAATTAATGGTTACGAAAGACACCTCCATTAACACTGGCAAGAAAGATAACTCCTATTGAACATGGGAAACTTATTTTCTTGAAAAAATTTTTAAAGACAAAGATTTTATAAATTTCAACCGAGAGAAGTATTGGCTGCTCCGCCAATAAATGCCGAATGTTTCCTTATAAGGAAACGGCTGATATTGCCATCATTATTACCATGCATCTGGTAATTGGTGATTACTCCTTTCTTCATGCTAGCCTTTACTAGCATTGTTATATAACATGGGTGGCATGTGGGAAATTTCAGAGTAAATTTATATCAGCTTCTTAAAAAAATAAAAAGAAAAAGAAAATAAGACAAAAGAATTTTAGCAACACTAGTAATTACTACCATGTAGACTCGACTGGTCATCCAGTAGCCAAACCAAAGACGTTATTCTGTGAAAAACCTTTTAAAGTCGACCCCTCGGTGTAAAAGGCCAAGACAGTTAGCAAGGGCACGCCAGGTTTTCACGGGTGAATGCGATCGACCAGTGCTAGTTATAATTAGGCCGGGAATCTGATCCGGTAAATAAATGACGATGGCCTTTGGATTCGAGATGATTCTGGAAAAATCTGGTCCTTTCTACGAGATTCGGGAAGCCTATCGGGCCGAAACCGGAAGTATTCCACCACACCAAAGGCGAAATATAAAAGGAAGAGTTTTGGGTATGAATTGCGGACACCAGAGTTTAGAGGCGAGTTTCGAGGCGGCAGCAAAACTGAGAGGGGGTAAAGTGTTGGGTCAGTCGGTTGCTTATGGAATTAAGATATCATCAACTGTAGAGATCAGTTTAATAGTCTGCTGCTAAAACAGTGTCGCTAGTCATATTTCTCTCTCTCTCTCTCTCTCTCTCTCTCACTCTCTCACTTGACAATTCACACGAGCGGAAAAATAAACCAGGAAGAAATCAATGCCTGCATTTAAACCCAAACTGCATCGATTAAAATCTATTGGCGTGGAGTTTCAGCCAATTGACAATGACGCTAATTTCCCATTTCCCGTTTAGCTCTGGTTATTTCTACAATGAAATTTAATTAAAAACATACTGATGATAAAGAAATGAAATCTACCATTTTATATTCCTAAATACCCGTAATAAGTGTTCGCAGTAATATTATGTAATAGGTGACATGTGAAAAATTTCAGCGTAAATTTATATTTGGTTCTTTTAGAAATAAAAATAAAACTTAAGTTAAGAAAATAAAGATTTTACTACCATGTGGGCTAACTGCTTGCCTAGTTCCCAATCAAAAGATGTTATTCTGCGAAAATCTTTTAAAGTCGAACCCTCAGTGAGAAAGGCCAACACGGCTCATGGGTGATGCGATCTATCAGTGCTATTTATAATTAGGCCGGTAATCCGATCCGATAAATAAATAAATAAATGATGAAAGACTTCCGATTCGAGGTCGTTTCGAAGAAATCCGGTACCTTCTAGAAGACCCTACCTAATTCTAGAATCCTCTTGGGGCGGATTTGGAAGTGTTCCGCCACACATAAGGCGAAATATAAAACGAAGAGTTTTGATATGAATCGGGAACGGGAAAGTGTTCCGACGAGTTTTTCACTGAGGCCGTTAGACTGGGAAGAATATTGTAAGCGAAGCGTACGGGATGATCCGTGGGTCGGCCGGTTGCGGACGGAATTATGATGTTCCCCTGTAGAGGGCAGTTTAATAACCTGTCGCTACGACACAACAGTTGGTCATCTTTCTCTCTCTCATTTGACAATTCAAACGAGCGAAAAAGTATAAACATGGAAGAACAATCAGTTTTAGAACAATCAGGATAATTGATACACGTTCTCTAGGAATTGCTTTAGCTTAGATATTCTCTGTTTTTAACGATAATGCATTTTCTACAGTTAAATTATTGGAGACAGTATTTTCTTTTTGTTTTGCTATCTTCTACAATAATTATTCCAAATTTATAATTCTATCTTAACAGATAATTTACTATTTCAAATTTTATTTGTCAAACATAATAATCAAACTTTTCTTCCTCCCTCTACGGACGTATGATATACCCATTCGGTTACTCTTTACATTGAGTGGCACTTGGGCCTTGTATTGGGTTAAAAATCGTAGAAAAAAACATATGATAGAAGTCAATTCAATATCTCTCTTCTGCATCCCAAACATATTAAAATATTCCGCTGGTAGGAGCCTTATAATTCTTATGAGAATCATTGGTAATACGACTAACTTTAAATTTACTATAAGTGCAAGTGCAGCTATTAGCCTAGAAAAATTATTATTATTATTATTATTATTATTATTATTATTATTATTATTATTTATACATTATAATCTTTATTATTATTATTATTATTATTATTATTATTATTAACGCCTCTGTTCTACTTGTCAAAAGTTTGGTTCAAACGACGCTGATGAATATAATGTTTGGCGCTGAATTCGTTTAATCTGTCAGCCTATGACAACATGTCATTAAATGAAATAACGACGAGACGCCCTGACACGCGACAAGAATTCTCTTGTCACTTTGAGTCTGTTCGAATTCCACGAAGAGGTCGTAGCCAGTGCCTTGATGTAGATGGCAGGTTGTCTCAAATTTGATCAATGACAAACGAAAGTGATGGCAACAATGTGGCTGCATTTGCTTCCCAATATATATATATATATATATATATATATATATATATATATATATATATAGATATATATATGCACATTCAATAGTATGCATAAAATTATATATGTACATATATATATATATATATATATATAAATACACACACAAAAACACACATACGTATATATATATGTACTTGATATCGATAGATCTATCTATCTATCAATCTAAAGTTTAGATAGATAGATAGATAGATAGATAGATAGATAGATAGATAGATAGATAGAAAGAAAGAAAGAAAGAAAGAAAGAAAGAAAGAATTTGTTATTTGAATTATCAAACAAAATATTTTATCTTGGTGTTTCATGGTTTTTGTAAATTTAGAGAGAGATGAAGCGAAAAAGACGTAACTTCACTTATACATAGATATTTACGCGAAAATACATTTGGAATATGTCTGAGGCCATCTCTTCTCTCCCTCATCTGAGTAAAATAGCGGAACAAAGTGAGCCTTAGAGTAATGCTTGGTAAACAGTGTAAGAAGGGGAAAACTATTAATTCAAATGCATGCTTTGGAGAACTTTTTAACCCATATATAAATTATCATTAATCTATATCTTTGTACACACAGAAAATTTATTTTAGAGAAAATTAGGTTATGGGTTCAAATTTTAAAATTCGCAGGATTTTTCAAAGTGTTTATAGTATCAGTTTGAAAAATCCTACAAATTTTAAAATTAAAATTCGTAGGTGAAAACGGTCATTCACTAAAAGAATGTTAATTCCAGTTGTAAAGAAAATTTGCTGTGTTTTACGAAAAAAAAACAAAAAAAATTAAGCGCACTTTTGTGAGTCAGTTTTAACATATCTCAAATTCTATGTTAATAGGACTCGCCTGGATTATACCAACGGTTTACTGCATATATATATATATATATATATATATATATATATATATATATATATATATATATATATATATATATATATATGTTTCCAAACATGGTTTTGACACTGTATTTTTTATATTTCAGATACTCTTCAAGATGCGATTGAATAAATGTACTCGGATTGGTCGGCGTGGTCCTGTTGTGTGGCCTCACAGATCTCCAGACCGTACCCCATTTGATTTTTACATTTGCGGGTATTTGAAGACCCAAGGTATATCAGGAAATGATTCAAAACAAATCATCTCAAGAAACGTATCACAAACTCCGTTACAAGAATAACTCCAGCTCTACTTGAACGTGTTCTTTAACAGTGAAGGACACACATTGAAGTGTTCTCTCAACAGAACGGTAGTCATGTATGCATGAAAATTTATAGGACACCCTGTATATATATAGCGTCAACTAGCAACTTGACAACGTCAAATGCATTGCAAATTTCAGGATTAGAATTTATGCTGGTGGCTATTCTTCTACGTGATTTGGAGGGGACGCGTAATTAACTCGGGCCTGCGCGAGTGAAATTTAAAATAGAATACACTGAGTGCATAACGAAAAGAACCATTAAGAACAGGACTTATCTTAGCGAGCTGATAGTCCCGTTGTAAGATCGTGCAGTCGGGGGTTTTCTGTTGGCATTTCCTTCACTTAGCTGCGTAGTGAGTTCAGTCCTGGATGCTTAATACTTTCAGCTTTATGCCACTTCTATGCTACTCTGTCTAAATCACTAGAGAGTTTTGAAATAGCACTTCGATGTGGTGTATTAGTTAGCAAGCTTGTCTTGCTAGACTAATTTCTAATGAGTATTGAGTTCATAATTTTCGGTCTTGTTCCACATCTAAGCTATGCTTTATATCGCTACACGTGTCATGTAATGCAATCGAGATAATTTTCCGTTATATTAATTCAGCTTCGGGCAATTCGAAGCGGTGTAATGGTTAGCAAGCTTGGCTCGCTAGAACAATTAAGAGTGAGTTCGATCCTCACTGGGTGCCCCCTAATTTCGGCCTTGTGCCACATCTATGCATGGAAAATCATTATATTAATTCAACTTCCAAATGATTTTTTTAGAGTTTTTTTTTTTTTTTAAAGTTAATTGGTTATTTTGTTTACTTTGTCTTCTTATTGGTGTGCAGGATGAAAAGGAAATGTGGCGAAAATATTTTACTCTTTACGTACAAAGATATTTGAACAATGTTCAGGTAAAATCACGAAAAATTGACGATATTCACATCGACATGTTAAGAAAAAACAGCATTCCCTTTCCATCGGATCTATATTTATTTAGGGCCTTGATTTCGTTCTTTCTCTTTTCCATCAAAAACAGTCACGCTAAATTCAAGATTACTTTCACAGTAGAACATTACCTTTCAGACGATCACCAGGCAATAGACCCAAAATAACTAAGATATGGACAGCTACTTCCGTTTGAGAGATAAGTCTTTCAGGATCGGTAAAACATCATGTCAATCTTCCAAACTTGATATCTTTTTGCGTCTTGATTTCTTCCTTCACTTTTACAGAACTCTTGTGTGCAAACCAGATTCCGATTCTTCTCCCAACCACCCATACTCCGTTCTTTGAGATTGAGCATCCATACACATACACTTGAACTTAATTGAAGACCGTTTCTTCCTTTGATAGAGCTGATGCTTCGACGTACCAATTCTGATCATCTGGCCGGGAATTCATGCGTCACTTGGCTACATTTTCCAAGAATCTTGCCGGCATTCGCATGTCAGTGGCAGCCAAGTTGAGGGGAAATGATATTCATAGAAACGTCGAGGCCGGCGCCCAAGCAGTGAAAGGTACAATAATTTCTTGACGGCGCAAATGGTCGGCTGGCTGTCATGGAAGAGTTGGTCAGAGAAGGAAGTGAAATTAACGCTCTTCTATTTCCTCTGAGTGGATGGATAGAGATAAGAGAGGAAGACGAATGAAATAGCCGTTGTATTACATGGAAGTGCAAAGAGAGAGTGAGAGAGAGAGAGAGAGAGAGAAAGAGGGAGAGAATGGGGGTAGAGGAAGAGAAGAAAAGAAAAAAACTGACAAAGAATAGTAAAGGGTTTTGAGGGGAAATGATAGAATATACATAAGAAAAGTTTTACTTACTCGTTGCTGACATTATTGATGCCAGGAACCGAGATTGCAGAGTAAAATGCAAGGAAATAATGAAAAACTAGGCAATACTATTAAAGTTATAGAAAAATATATTAATATGGAAGTCAAGAAAGAAAGTTTATTTTCGGAGAAAGTTAACGGAAACTAAAAGAAATAACGAAAGAAAAAGAAAAGATAAGAAATGTTAAAACAGAAAATAATAATACAGAGAAAGAAAGAAGCATATACACACAAAAACACACACACAAATATATATATATATATATATATATATATATATATATATATATATATATATATATATATATGGGTAACTACACTCGTCTCGGAAAACCTTCGGTTTCTTGATTTGCTAATGGTCAAATCAATCACGAAGGAAAAACAGGTTTTAACAAAAGAAAGAGCTATGAACATGAACGTCTGTCGAAAATAATCGTACAGCATACAGGTCCAAAGCCCAAAGAAAAATCCCTGATACGAGTAATCAACTAACTTAAAAGTGCTGAATACAAAAAGTAGAGCAGACCTAGTTAAAGCTAGAAACCAGACAAACCTACCAAGGTTTCACCTGATCGGATCGTCAGGAAAGCCAGCTTTCCTGACGATCCGTTTAGGTGAAACCCTTAACTAGTTTTGTATATATATATATATAGGTTTGATATATATATATATATATATATATATATATATATTGTGTATATTTTGGCAGCAGTTTTTCATTGATGCATGTTTCATTAAATCATACAGACAATTTTGTCTATATATTTTAAGTAAGTTACTTTCAGATTGTCTGGTAAGATTAATAACATTATCATTGAAAGACGAAAGGAAATCTCTATATTGATACATCTTTTAATCTTATCTAAACCAAAATATTTTACAAATTCAAATGCCCTTTGAGAGACTATCTCCAATGGATTAGATAATATTTATGTTGGTCATACGACAAACTCGCTTTCACGACGCTTGACTCTACATTTGAATGATAATTCTAACAATTTTAGACATTTAAAACAACATGCCTGGCCGCGTACACAATTCCGGAAAATCCGTTGAAAACACAACTATACTTAAACATGAAAACAATTAATTGAAACAACCACTTTAGTTTTCTTTCTTTCACCATACGGTCAGTTTTAGACGCACTGGTTTGACTGGGTGTAATCGATTTTTTATTTTTGATCAGATTTGGTCATGTTTTCAGAGTGTATGATGAAATTTGTTTGGCCTTGAAAGATATTGCGTCATTCGTGATTCCATCAGATTTTTTTTTTATCACGGCCAGGCACTATTGTCACGACTGTCGATTATTTATCCTACGGCCGTCGTCTGCGATGGTCGTTAATCTAAGGAAACTTACGAAAATTGTAACGTTGCAGGAACAAACTGGCGAGCCTTACTGGCACGGAAACTCTCCCATATTAAATCCAATGGTCAATCTGCAAGGAACGACTTCGTGGAATGGGCATACGAAGTACAAACATGTGCACGTGCGCTGGGTCATATTTCTTTGGAAAATACGGAAAAAGGAAGTAATAACGGAATTATTCGTTTTGTTTCAATTAATTTTCAGAACGGTATATATATATATATATATATATATATATATATATATATATATATATATATATATTGTGTGTGTGTGTCTGTGTGTGTGTGTATAGCGATTGTCCTCTAGATTGCAGGACAACCATATTTGGCAGTATTAGTATGAATTTGATGCTCATGGAGGGACACTGATATTGTAATAATTCTTAAAGACAGAAATATTTAAAAAAAAGACACTGTTCACCAATAAATGAGTAGTAGATATTTGTTTTACTCGTGTTTTTGCAATTGATATTATATATTAAAATTCCTGATGAAAAAAGGGCTGTGTTATATATTGCTTATAACAACAGATACAAATCAAGTCTTTCTGTTCCATATAACATTTTCATCCAGTTAGTGTTGCGGTTAGAAAACTTCAAAGATTGCTTGATTTCTTTTTCTTTACGGTGTATCAACCCTTTGTGTGTTATTTAAATCCAAAATATATTTTGGATCTTGTGAATATTTTTTTTGCGAACAAATGTTGCATAAACACTTTTGTGTGGGATAACAATGATTTTTCCTGATAAATCTATATCTTGTGGGTAGAAGAGATGGACCCCTCCCTTGCTTAAGGTATTTTGAATGTAATTCAACATCTGATTTTGCGGAAGGAGCTCGTAAGAACAAATGGCGAGCGGTTGTTTCACGCCATGTTGTTGTAAACTATCCATTATTTATCACTTCTGATGATTCTTTTAAAAAGTGTATATTGCGTTTGAGCAATTTGATCGTAGAATTAGTGGGTCGCAAACGGATTAAACATATCATTTTCGAAATTGTCGGATTATTTACCATTTGGAGAGGGGTGTATTATTCAACAGAAGAAGCGCTAAATCTTAATCGGGGGCCTTAATGATCGCACCAACAGGCTAGAAATGCCTGTGTCAAAAGAGAAACGATGATAGAACAAATCAAATATAAGACACATATTCATCACGTTAGTTGAGAATTTAGCGTTCTCACGATATGCGAGCGGAAGATCCATCAAGGTTTTACTGTTGAAATCAAGATACCAGATACTGCACCAGATGTTGGATCATTATGTCACAAAATGAATTCCGGAAATTTGGAAGATTGTGGCAGTGTTTGATGTATTATGTTTCCAGTTGTTTCAGGTTGATAACAATGTCCGAGTCTGCTGCTGGCCACATGAAATTATTGAAAAGGAACTGAGAAGACTTTTTTACATCATTATGATCTTGGTAATGTTCAAATGGCGTGATCTTAACTAGCTGGTTCACCTAAACAAATCACTGACCAGTGAACGCTAATACTTTGTGACCTCTTGCATCAATTTGTGTAATCCATATACCTCAGCAATAATGCTATAATTCACCAGCATCACCTCCACCTTATCGAGCTCAACATTCGGAGAAACATTTAAATAACATTCTGGGGATCACTGGTAAAAGCTACGGTACCCACGTTCTTCCGACATGATCTCATTTGAGAATTTACGGGTCGTGGTCGAGAACTGAAGTTTCGATAAATGTTCTGCATCGTTAAAATGTTAAGAAACCATCTGAACATCTCTCCAGAGGTATTTTCAGTAGTTGTAGCTACTTTATCTAATTACAGGGCATCTGTACTCCAGTGGGTATCTATTTAATCACGTTTGACATACGACTCTAATATTTGGAGAATATTAAAAAAACAAAAAACTGTGGCTACGAAATCGAAAAACTCGAGATTAATAAAGAAATTAATCTCGGAATAAAACATCTTTCATGTAGACAAGAATACTAGGAAAATGACAGAGGTTAAGACGAGATATATTGCCACGACATAATCCCATTAATTTTATGAATATCATAACACTCTGAAGGGTAGCGAAATACACTCGCTAGGCTATTACTATTGCAATGAATTCATACCACAGAGATTGCTTCATTGCATTCTTTTTTAAACCATTTCACTCCGAGCAAGGCGGGAATGCTACTAATTTTCAGGTAGTTAAAAGGAGTGAAAATGAAAGTATAGGGAAGATTAAGGAAAGAACAGAATATGAACGGGAGTTTAAGAAGGCAGAAGATGTCTATGTTACATTTAAATTTTTGAAATATTGTAGACATCGGGGAAGCAAGGAAACGGAAGGGAGATCCGCAGGTGGGAAGTGCAAGAAAGAAATTCTTGAAGTAGATGTGGCGGTTGCATTTAGTTATTTTAAAAGTAAAATTGTGGGACCTAGTTGCCAGTCTAGTAGCACGCTTAAACTTATGTAGTCGCGGCACCAGTTAAAAAATCTCGTCAGAGCTGTTACGATGAAAAGGCGGGAAAACTACGTCACGTCGGTGAGAAAGTAATTGAACTCGAGATGACTGATGAGGATCGATTACATTAGAGATTTTTTCAAGAATCTCAAGATATATAGCAGGAACACCAGACCAGATATGGACGAATACATGGACGAATGGTATTTTTCTAAATGTAAAAAATGAAGAGTTTTCTGCCGCGACACACAGACACAACATTTTTTGCAGTAGATGCAGCTATTGATTTGATGTATTTGCTCCTTCAAGTTTGTGGAAAACATGAGGCCAACAAAGCGTAGTGTGTGGCTCTCCTGTGGTCTAGCCTCAGCCATGCTGATGTTAGGAAGATAAGGTTCTCTATGGTGGTTAAATGAAAGTAGTTTTGTTTTCGAGGCGCTCAAATTTACAAGTCATTTCTTGCCCCAGCTAACAACTGCTTAGAGGTCCTTTTCAAGAGCAGCTGCCAAGTTTACCTTGTCAGATTTGACGTTACCTCAAGTGTAAGCAAACGATCACTATTTGGGTCAGAGAGGTATATTAATCAATTTTATCTCAGAAGCAATTGCCGCGGTAGTGAGACTGATCACCGGTTGATTCCACTCACATGCATGCCATATCTGAGTGTATTGACTATCGATAAAGCTGCAGGAAATTAGCGCAGAAAAACGTTAACGATATAATGACGTAAAGGTCACATGGAGAAAAGGAACAGAAGTAGTTTCTCTGATTATTAACTATGTGAGCCGTCGCATCTTTCTTTTTCTCAGTCATATCTGAATTTATTAAGTACCCGACTCCTCTCTTCTAACTGTACAAGAGCAGTAACAGAGCGAAAATGATTTACTAATGCCATATATCCTTTAGCCACCGCAGAGATCCCTTCCTGCCTCCTATCAGAATGACTGATTCCCAATTCCTTGAGAGCGCCTCGATACGTCTGCTTGGTCTGAAGCTCTCCATTGACATGAGGTAGAATACAGGCATTGAATCAATAGCTTCATCTACCACAAGGAATGTTGGCTCTTTGTGTCGTGCAAGAAAGTTTTTCTCGTCTGAATCCATCCTTCGAATCTATAAACCAACCATCCGTTCTTGCATGGAATATTGCTGTCATATATAATCTTGTGTCCCAGCTGTACATCTCGAAGTCCTTGACAAAATCCAGAGAAGAATATACAAGATGATAGGTCTTGATTTGGCATCTAGTCTACAATCGCTATCCCGCACACGTGCCGGGAAACTGTTCCGACGAACTACTTTCGCTGGACTACATGAATTTAAACCTGCTACCAGGCTGTCATCTCTGCTCCACCATTTCACTGTCAAAACGGTTAAATGTAGCCGTCTCTTCTTCTCAAACAGTTTCTTCTTCCGCACTT